TAAGCCTTGGTCATAGGCCTAGACTGGCACTGTGGGCTTCCCGGGTCCTCAGTCAGAATAGGGTTTCCAACTTACCAATAAAAAATGAGATGATAAGGAAAATATACCTAGTGATCCTTTGACTAAGAAGGGGGTGAAAGACAAAGACCAAAGGAAAGCTATGGAGGCAGATGTTACTTGAGAAGGAAGCAAAAGGGTGTTTTTCTGAGACTTGGTAAGTGAGAGGACCCTTAGGAGTAGGGAGTGGTGGGGAAGTTGGAACTCAGGCTGCAAGGGCAGTGGATGTAGTAAGAGGACCAATCCCATGAGGAATCTGGCATGGGGGCGCTGATTTAGCCTCTTACCTGCAGTGGACAATGAGGAGGCTGCACTGCTGCATGAAGAGGCTACCATGACTATTGAAGAGCTGCTGACACGCTACGGGCAGAACTGTCACAAGGGTGCTCCCCACAGCAAATCTGGAGCTGGGACAGGCGAGGAACCAGGGTCCCAGGGCCTCAATGGGGAGGCAGGATCTGAGGACCCATCTAGGGAATCTTCTTCAGAGGAAAATGGTCCCACAGCCAAGGTCCACACAGGCCTTTCCTCCAACTCGGAACGTACAGAGGCAGGCCAAGGTGGTGAGCCTGGCATTCCCACTGGTGAGGCTGGGCCTTCCTGCTCTTCAGCCTCCGACAAGCTGCCTCGAGTTGCTAAGTCCAAGTTCTTTGAGGACAGTGAGGATGAGTCAGATGAGGCGGAGGAGGAAGAGGAAGACAGCGAGGTAAGGGCCTGTAGGGGCTGATAGATGCTGAAATTGCAGAGGGGCCTGTTTGGTTGCCATTCATAGCTGTTTGACTCTTCTATTTTGACATCATCCCCAAAGACCCACTATATGCTAAGCTTTTCTTGGTTTCATTATCTCCACCAACACACGTACCATTAGCCCTCTTACCTCTTTCTTTGTTGATACACTAACAAATAGATTTAGTTGTGGCCTTGAAAGAGTGTCTCCTCGAGAGAGAATAGGAAGATGGTGGTTATTACTTTGGATATTTGGGTATTTCCTTTTCTGGGCAACTTACTTTCTGGTCATGTTGCCTACAAGGTGCTTTAGGCTGATTGCCTTGGCCTTCCCCTGGTGAGCCCAGTTCAGGATATCAGTTATTCCAATGCTAGCCCTCTCCCTTCCCCCATATTTCTCACCGTGATCATATAGTTGCATCTTTTAGTGTTTTGAGGACCTGTGTTCAGCAGGGCCTCTTTGTTTTGAATAGGAGTTGGGGGAGTGGGGCAGGAGGTTATTCCAGTCTCAGTTGCCTGGGATCATCCCTCTGGCAGGAATGCAGTGAGGAAGAGGATGGCTACAGCAGTGAAGAGGCAGAAAATGAAGAAGATGAGGATGACACCGAGGAGGCTGAAGAGGATGAGGAAGAAGAGGAGGAGATGATGGTCCCTGGGATGGAAGGCAAAGAGGAGGTCTGTGGGAACGGGGAGCAGTGGGTTTAGAAGAATCAAGAGGCAGTTGTGAATCCCCTGATTTGATTTTGGGAGGGGATCCCCTTGCTCTTTTAGTATTGAAGTCATGGTCATGGGGGGATTTTTTTCTGCAAAGGGAACGAGGTCTTTTGGGTAGAATTGTCTCAGAAAACGGAGTATGCCATAGTCTCTGGGAATATAACATTTGTGATCCTCCTTTTTGTTAAAGCTATCTTGGTGGTCCTAGTGAGATATGAAAGCATAGGTGAATGGTCAGGGGAGCTCGTGTCCAGAAGCTTCCATGATGCTTTCTTTCTCCTTCTTAAGCCTGGCTCTGACAGTGGTACAACAGCTGTAGTGGCTCTGATACGAGGGAAGCAGTTGATTGTAGCCAATGCAGGAGACTCTCGCTGTGTGGTGTCTGAGGCTGGCAAAGCTTTAGACATGTCCTATGACCACAAGCCGGAGGATGAAGTGGAGCTAGCACGCATCAAGAATGCTGGTGGCAAGGTTACCATGGATGGTCGAGTCAACGGGGGCCTCAACCTCTCCAGGGCCATTGGTAAGAACTAGGGGACTATGTATGGAAAAGACTTTTGGGGTCTTTTTCTCTGTTTCAGACTATGTAGTTGCAAGTTTTAATTTTCATAGCCCTTGTACCTTTCCAAATATTTTTGTATCTACCACCTGTAACCTTAAATGTCTCTATGAGATAGGTAATATGGGTATCATTTCTGGATGATGAAAAAAAGCAGGTTAGTGAATTACTTATGATTCATCCTAAAGTCAGGGTTGAAACTAGAACTCAGTTCTGTCCATTAGATTATGGAAAGGAAGGAAATGAATGGCAAGGCTTCAAACACAAGTCTGTGAGAAGTACCCAAACTATTTGTTAACCAACTATTCCTTTACTTCAGGAGATCACTTCTATAAGAGAAACAAGAACTTGCCACCTGAGGAACAGATGATATCAGCCCTTCCTGACATCAAGATGCTGACTCTCACAGACGACCATGAATTCATGGTCATTGCCTGTGATGGCATCTGGTAAGCACTGGCAGAATGCCTTAAAATTTCTTTTTCTGCAGCATTACTTCTCATGTAGTGCTCTGAGCTCCTTTGGCTTTATTTTTATTATTTTTCAAAATATATATTTCTATTGATTTTATTTATTATATTTTTACTGATTTCAGAGAGAAAGGGAGAGTAAGTGAGAGAGAGATAGAAACATCAATGATGAGAGAGAATCATTGATTGGCTGCCTCCTGCATGCCCCTCCCTACTGGGGATTGAGACCACAACCTGGGCATGTGCCCTTGACTGGATTCGAATCTGGGACCCTTCAGTTTGATGTTCTATCCACAGAGCAGACCGGCTAGAGCAGCCGTGGGCAAACTACGGCCCGCAGGCGGGATCCGGCCCGTTTGAAATGAATAAAACTAAAAAAAAAAAGACCGTACCCTTTTATGTAATGATGTTTACTTTGAATTTATATTAGTTCACACAAACACTCCATCCATGCTTTTGTTCCGGCCCTCCGGTCCAGTTTAAGAACCCATGTGGCCCTCGAGTCAAAAAGTTTGCCCACCCCTGGGCTAGAGCCTGCTTTGGTTTTATATCATCCATTGAATGGCTGCGTTCAGTACCTTTTCTCAAGCTGCTCTAGGATTAGAGTTTAGGTAGACAGCTTGGTATCAAGACGCCCAAGCCTAAGGCAGAGCTGAGGACAATCTCTGTTTACATTGACCCAAACTGTCACCTCTATCCATATTCCTCCACTCTGCTTTCCGTGGGACTAAAGAAGATTCTGACTATTGTTTCTGATCCCAGGAATGTGATGAGCAGCCAGGAAGTTATAGACTTTATTCAGTCAAAGATTAGCCAGCGTGATGAAAATGGGGAGCTTCGGTTATTGTCATCCATCGTGGAAGAGGTGAGTCCCAGTTTGGAAGAGTGTCTGGGCTGCAGAGCCAAGGTTTTCTCCAAGACCAGAGCATAGGAGTATCATTCATTAGTGACAGATGCCAAACCCTGAGTAGAAAGTTCCACCTTCCCTCATTTCCCTGACTCACCTTATGCCTCATGGACTAGCAAATGGGCTGTTTCGTAATAACCTGTGACCCATTTCTCTCCTTCTGCCACCTTGTCTGGCACGACCACCCCTCTAGTGTGACTTTAGGTTCCCGGAAAGGTGTTCAAACCTTAAAACTGCTACCCCTTCCATTTTGTAGCTGCTGGATCAGTGCCTGGCACCAGACACTTCTGGGGACGGTACAGGGTGTGACAACATGACCTGCATCATCATTTGCTTCAAGCCCCGAAACACAGCAGAGCTTCAGCCAGAGAGTGGCAAGCGGAAACTGGAGGAGGTGCTTTCTACTGAGGAGGCTGAAGAAAATGGCAACAGTGACAACAAGAAGAAGGCCAAGCGGGACTAGCGGACTTGGTTGTCCAGACTCCTGCCCCCGAGACTGTTTTCTGAGCCCTCCGGACCTGAGACTGAGTTTTGTCTTTTTCCTTTAGCCTTAGCAGTGGTTGTGAGGTGTGCAGGGGGAACTGGGTGGCTTTACTCAGCCCATTCCAAAGAGGGCTCACCCTCCACACAGCAGCCCGGGAGCCGCTGCTGCTCTCCCCAGCCTCCTCTTTGCTCCTTGGGGCTCATCACTGGTTCTGTGCCTGTGCTCTGTTGTGTTGGAGGGAAGGACTGGAGGTTCTGGTTTTTACTCTGTGAACTTTATTTAAGGACATTCTTTTTTATTGGCGGCTCCATGGCCCCGGCCGCTTGCACCTGCTCTCTGTTGTACACTTTCAGTCAAACACTTTTTCAGACTAAAGGCCAAAACCTAATCAAACCCATAGTGTCCTTTTTTCTTTGCTGCCTTTCCATCCTGTCCTGATCACCCAGGTTGCCTGGGCACTTCAGGCGACCCTATCAGTAGTAGCATCTACCTAACCATTTCGGGGGGCGGGGGGGGGGCGGTGTCCGTGTGGGTCCGTCCCACGCGAGCCTGCGTGTCCAGTAGAGGGGCCCAGGTATTCGCTCCATGAGTTACTGGCAGGCTGGCCTTGTCGCTACTCATCCTCACCCCCTTGCGGAGTCAGGAATAATTTCCTCCTCCAGGGAGGGATCAGGACTGCCAGGCGGCCTTGCCAGCCGTCTTCTATCAGATCTCTGATTGGCTTCCTCCCTTCCTTTCGTCACAATCACTTCCTGGTCACGCTGCGAGAGCCCTGCTGCCTCTGCTTCCCACGGACGGGACTACGTGTCCCGTGCGGCTCTGCGGTAGCGGAAGCGGAAGCGAGCACGGAGGTACCAGCTGGTCTCCGTAGGGGGGGTTAGGGGGCTCCATGAATGGACGCGGCGGTGGCGGCGGGAGCTGCCTGGGCTGGG